CAACCCACAATCTATCGAATCGACGCTATAAAATTACCCAAGTACTGTCGAGTGTACAAAGTTTCGATGTAGTTCTGAAAATGCCCATCTTTCGATTTTGGTAAATATATTTTTATTTATTATTTATTTACTATTATATTAATCATGTAATATTAATTAATTTTTCTTATCTCCAGAGGTCGATAGATTAATATTTGTTATCTCAAATTTCTTTTACCTCTACAGGGATAGTTCTACCAACAAACTAATCTTCGTTATTCCAAATTAAATACCACTAGAACTACCAACGATAAACGTACATATCTATTCCCATAGAATCGATAAACACAAACAAACATTTAAAAAAAGTATACAATATAAACTATTTTTACATACGTTCATTTCGTGGTATGCGACACAATTCACCCAAGTTTCATCAAAATCTCAAGATAGACCTCTTCGAAACCGAGTTCCGAAATTTCGAAACAAAAAACAAAAGCAACATTTCCATCGGTTTCGCGTGCACCAGTCCAACGATCATAATCTCCGTCACTCGTCTACAACGACCCCGACAACGTCTTCCCGCTCGATTCACAACCACCCACCCCTCAACCGAACGTCCATCCTCCTGTCTATCGAACACCCAGGGTCGTGCCTCATCGCGGGAGGGAGCGTGCGTCTAAACGCGAAGTTCCGCGGGGATACTCGAAGAAACGGTCGGTCCGTACGGAACAAAGAACAACAGGGGAGGGTAGGTAGGTAACAGTTCGTATAAGACGCGAAGGGAAGCGTGTGCACGGCGGACAACAAGTACAAGGGGTGGAAGTGGGGGATGAAGGAAGGGTTAGGTGTGGGGTGGTTAGAGGAAACGCGAGTTTCTATGGCTGGGCTACCGATCGTTCTCCATAATACATTTACGGCTCCAGCCTATTATAATATTGTACTCCGGAGTGTATTGTCTTTCTCTCGGGCCGGGGGATAATGTTTCGCCGACACGCCACACAGGCCTCGACCCCGCGAGTATAACTCTTTCATTTCCCCGTTTCTCCTTGCTCGCTTCTCTGTCCTCTAACGTTGCTGGTCGTAGCTCTCCCATCAAGGTTTCGCAGTATTTTTTCGTTTCATTTGCACTTTTTTCCTCTCTTCTTCAACAACGATCCATTAGCTATCAGGACGACCGAGATGGAAAGGGGGAGGGAGGCTAGTAGATAGCCTGGAATAGCGAAAACAATTTCAAGAAATCTGCCCCGGCGAAAATTCGATTAGCCGCGCAAGATGGGCTCGAGGTCTCTCTGTCTGTCCCTCTTGCTCCCTCCATTTGTTTCGTTCTCGTTCTTATTTTATTTCCCGCGGAGAACGGGTCGGCACCGACTCTGTTTCTGTCGCGCTGGCCGGCTTTTAATTACTTCTCTCCATCGCGGCGAGATCGTAGAGAAACAGGAGGATTCTCTCTCGGTCTCTTCAGGGTTCCCCCACTATTTTCGTCGTGTTCCTTCTTCATCTCCGTTTTTCCTGTCTGTGTTTCTTCGGCTGGGATTTTTCTTCTTTTCTTTTTTCGTGGAACCGCGATCACCGGCTACTTTTAACCCCGAGCGAACGTTCTTTCTCTCTCTTTCTTGCTATTCCATTAAACGGTCTTCGTAATTTCGCGAACCTGCACACAGGCCTGCCAGCGGTTTTTCCCTGGGGGGGGGGGGGGGGGGGGGGGGGTAAACGAGCGAGGCTGCGCCGAGGAAAACGAGCCTTCAGCCCCGTGGATTAGCGTTCAATTAAAGGGTTCCACGACCAGAGAAACCGACCCACAGTCTTCTCGATGAAAGAACCGATATTTATTGCCCCCGTGAACACCGACGTGGATTACGGTCGCGTGCCCGCCATTCCGTTGCACCTGATTCCCAAAAGGAACAAAACTTGGTTGTTTCGCTTTTCTTTCCGTCCCCTGTGGTTCGAGAGATGAAATTCAAGAAACTTATTATCCATTGGTGAAAGACGCAGTCGACAAAGTGGATGGAAGTTAGACGATATTCCCATAGATCGTGGCGCTAAATGATCCTTTCTTCAATTCCTATCCCTTTTCCTCTTCCGGTTTCTTTTTCTCTGTCGATATTTACCAGACGACCGGTGGTTACGCAACCAGCCCAGGTCTAATTGCTCGAAAGTGGGGAACGGGTAAAAAGTAGTTATTGGAGTTTCTTCGACGAAAGAAGCGAGAAGACAGCGCGAGATGAGAGAAACAAGAGTTGAAAAAAAGGTGTGCGCAGGGGAGAGACGTACACACTGATACACACTTAGGGTCACGAACAGCTCCCGACAGATGCCTTCCCACGTTTCTTTTCTGTCTTCTTTCTCCGTCCAAGACATGTGCCCGGCGAAAAGGGTTGAGAAATTCAGTTGCTCCGCGGAGCACGGGCAAAAAACCACCCCACCCTGGGTGTGGTACAAGGATTCCGCTGGTAATCGGTGCGCGCCGCGATTCACCGGCCGAAAGGGGTGAATTCGATTAAAGCCTCACAGGGACTTGAGCGATCTTTCTCCTGGATCGGTCGATTTCCGTTTTTTTCCCCCTCTGTTCTCGTTTCATTCTCTCTCTGTTCCTCTCATCAACTACGATCCCGTAATGGGATGATGCTTTCTTTCTGCTTCTGTTCTTTTTTTCGTTCTTTATCCCCTTCGATGTATATATTGTACTCGTGGCTCGTTTATGCTCGTATTATGCGCGGATGAATGTGTCGTTTTCTCTCGCCCCGTTACTTTTTTTTTTAGAAGTCATCGTCGGTTCGTTGAGTCTGTACAAGGTTTAACGGATTCGATTAGACCGTTTCTGTTGTCCCTCGATGATTTTCATCCCGTTTCGTCCGTGACTTTAGCGACGCACCAGCCCCCGGGTGACCTCGATCGGGCGTACCGATCGGAGACACGGAAAAAAAAAAATGATCGAGAGGGATACCCCACACACGATTCACGGAGAATCGATGTAATTGAAGATGGTTGGGTATGTAATGTCGCGAGTCCGCGTCGCTCTGCGAACATTCTGGTTCCGATGTGAGGGAAGTCGTACGGAGAAGAATAAACCACAACCAAAGCGACAAAACCCAGTAGTCTCGATAAGCGTGTTACGAAGAGCCCAGGCGAGAACGATCTATGTACAGGAGATCATCGATGAGTGCTCGAAGGCTTTTCGGCAGTGAGTGTTCAGACGTCATTTAGGGATGTTCGATTCTTATTTGATTGTTTTGGTTGAAAAATTGATCTTTTGAATCGATTTTGTTGTGTTTGATTTTTCTGAGAATTGATTCGATGCTGTTCAATATTTATGAGAATCGATTTTTTTTTCATCAATTTTTTTTCCGTTACTAAGGAATGTCACTCAACGCAACTATATTTGACTAAACCTGGAAGAGACAAAGCTGTCTGATTGGTCTTTCAGTTTGAGAATTAATTTGTCCCGAATGGAAAGACCAATTACCTACAGCTTCACCCCGCTAGCTTTTAGGCGATAGCTGAGGTGTGGGTTCTTCCTAATAACTACGCAGATCTATGTTCCTAAGAACTATTCAAATAATTATTTATAATAGATAAAATTTTATTCCTAATTTTGATTTCCTAATTTTCAAGAGATTGAGCAATAAATTCGTACCTTCTAGGGAAAGGAAGTAGGCTAATTATCAAAAGTATTTACTAATAGAATTTCTGACTTCAAACCTTCAAAATTTTACAATTCAAACCTTCATATGTTTTGATCTCCTCTTTGTAATAGCATACAAAAAAATAAAGAATTTCATTTAAAAAAACGTTGCCATTAAAGAAACCTCAGAATAGATAGTGAATCGATTCTTTGCAGTGAATCGAACATCCCTAAAGTCATCCCCGCCATTGAACCCTTGACTAGTAGATATTCGATCTATGTGCGTCCTATTACATTAGAGAATAGGAATTCATCATTATATAAAGAAAGTTCTACCTAGAAAACAGCAAATATTTTTTTCAGTCTTACTTCGGAAGTTTTATGTTTTCTTAATTGTTGTATCTCCACATGTTTACAACAATTAAAAATTTATAGTGATAATAAGATTTTTTGCTACCACTGAACCCTTGACTATTTCCAAAGTGGATTCCCCAAATGGTGGACACGACTTTGGAACACTCAGTGTCGAGGATCCTCCGAGCACTCGTCGATGATTTACTGTATATAAGCTAACCGTTAGGATCTCTCCTTCCGTTGCCGTAAGAAACGTTCCGTTCCGTAAGAAAGTTTTCTATATTTTCCACGAAATAGGGGATCGAGACCCTTTGCACGGTGGTGTTCTAGCTTGCTTTTTCTCTTCCCTTTGAAATCTTTACGCTCGAGGGGGAGGCCCGGTTTGTAGGAAAAAGAGTGTTGTGTTGTGATCCGTTCCAGGTGCGCTCGAATAATTACTGATACATGTACCGTGCATCGAGTTCTCGTCCCGCGAACCTCGAGAGTCCTCGGGTGTAAATTTTCTTTTTTACGAAGCTCGTATACGAGAACGTTACCGAGAGTCCAAGGGGGGGGGGCAGGGCCGGAATCGGAGAGCCTATCGATCGTGAAGGGGGATATAATGGATCTACAGATCGTACGGAGAGAAGCGTGACCCATCCGCCACCATGTGTGCAAATACAGAGAAACGCGTTGTTCCGTGCCGCGACAAGAAGTATCGTGTATTATAGGTAATATGGTTGTTAATAATTTTAGGCGTTCGATACGACCGACTAGAAGAGCTTTTTAGCGGAGAATTACGATTAAAAAAAAAAAAACTATATACGATTGTTATATAGATATAGAATTTGAGATTTGATTAAATCGTCTAGATCGATTCTAGAGATACTCGATAGTTTGCTCTCCGGGATCGTTCCGACCGGTGGTTCGATTATTATTCGTGTACGAGCACCGCGTTGTGTAGCCGAAATGCCCGTTGTTGTTGTTGTTGTTGTTGTTGTTGTTGTTGTTGTTGGTGGTGGTGGTGGTGTTGGACGTCGGATTCGGTACATACATGACTGACCTTCGACGTGTGGGTACGAAGGCTGGATTCTGTGGCGAAGCCTTTGCCGCAGATGTTGCAATGGAACGGCCGGTTCTTCGCCCGTTCCACTTGGGCGTCGTGGTTCCGAAGGTGCTGCTGCAAATTCGATAGCTGAATGAACGCCCGCCCGCAATCCGGTAAATGGCACTTGTACGGTCGTTCACCTGCAAACAGAAAAGCGTGCAATGTGAATAAACGGATAAGTGAATGGTACAGGATGATCAATGGAAGTTATTTATTCTGGACCTTTTTCAATTGGACCTGATTAAGTCGACAACAGAATTGTTTTATGGTGAATATGTTCTGTTCTTTTTTTTGTAGAGAGTTTGAGGTATTGTTAAATTGAGGGGCTTATTGGAGAAGGGGCACGTGGTATTATACTATAAATTTACAAAATTACTTTTAGGAAATGTAATTTTCTCAGAAAATTCGGTATTAACTGGTAGTTATTTTCGTTGGTAATTGAAGTAGATGGTAAATGGCAGTTACTGTCGAGTCTTGGTTTGAAAATTCTTATTATATGACAGCGTCTTTAACAATCTAAAAATGTTTCGCCTTCGCATCCCAAATTGGATTGAATGAAAGAGGCAATCACTATGAAATGGCATAGTCTCTATAAAAAAATAGTTTGCTCGAATAACCGTAATCTTTTCTTTACATTGTTAAGAACGTGTCGTAATAATTGCCATTTGCCATCTACTTCAACTACCAACTAAAATAACTACCTACGAGTTAATACGGAATTTCCTGAATTATAGTTATTTTTTCTGAATGTAGTTCTGTAAATTTATTGGTAGTATTGTGGCATGTGCCAGTTTTCCACTAAGTCCCTTTTTGTTACAAATTCTTCAAGGAGACAGAATTCGTTTGCTTTCAAAATCAAGGAATTTTAATATGCTTCTGTCTATGAAAGGGTATATGCTTGAAGTTTATGGAATTGACACTAGATGATTAGAGGTACAAAAATGATACAAAATGGTACAAAAATGGTGGCAAGTGCCTCTTTCCCACTGAGCCCTTCCATCTCAAGCAAGCTGCGTTATTCGTTGCGAGTTCGGTTGAGATTTTGGATTTTCAAGTGAGTTTGTTTTTCAGTTATACATTAAACTTTCTTGAGACGTGCAACACGATTACCGAGAGTATTAGAGACGATTCAGCGTTATTTCTTCTGAATCACTCATTATCATTTTAATCTTTTAATATCTACAAGATCGTATAGTAAGGGTGACAATGACATTATGAGAAATCAATGCAACATTTCCATTTCGTTAAATAATTGATGGAACAGACGTTACACGTCCATCTTGACAATAAATGATCGAGTTTGAGATGAGTACTGATTCACAAAGAACATGTCTTTTTTTTACTGTACATATTACAGAAGGTTTTGTAATGTTAAAAAATTGTTCATAGTTGGAATTTTAGCTTATGTAACTCAGTATTAATTCACAAAGAATATGCTTTTCACTGTACATTAAACATACAAACTTCCTTAACATAAAAAGATTGTCCACATTTGGAACTTTTGCTTACAGGATTGAGTAATAATTCGCAAAGAAAATGTTCTCCACTGTATATTGCAGAAAGTTTCGTAATGTAAAAAAGATTCTCCATACTTGGTTCTAAAATTTCAGATCGCACGTGTCATTGAACGTCATACAATTACACGAAATACTGCGAGAAAGCTTTTTCATCCCCCAAAAGAAATCGATGAACATTTTTTCCGTCCGCCTCTTAATTAGTAAAACGAACGAGCTCGTTGGAGGTCGAACCGCATAAACGAGGAATGAATTTTCTCCTGTTTCACACGTGTGAGCGTGGTCTCGAGCGAGAAAGGGAAAAAGAGAGAAAGAGAGAGGGAGATAGAGGAACACGGGCGCGAGACAACTTTTTTCCGGGGGACGAGCAACAGGTATCCAGCGGCCAGATTTTAGGGGGTGGGGTGAGGCGTAAAAAATGCCACTCGTTTTAAAACGGCCATTAGAGGCGGTGTTTTAACAACGCGTATAATCAGCCCCCGCCTGATTTAAAACGACTACGGATATTCGTTCGTTGTCGTCTCTTCCGCGTTGCATTAATAAAATCTGCAACCAACACAGTTCTTTTTCTTTTTTTTTTTGCCACATCTGTTTACAACCATCATCGATGGGGGAATTTTATGAGGTTCCATCGGATCGTATTTTGACAGATGATTCGGAATATTTTCAAACGGTGATTTTCTCATCGATAATCGCGCAATCAGGAGCCTTCTATCGGAATATTATTACGAACGATTCTAATCAAATTAAGAAATTTATTTACGTAAATTTTATTACGTTTTTTTTTTTTTTAAAGGTTTCTTGATTTGACTGACACAATTGATGTTTGTGATTATCGAAGGACTCTGTTGGTATTATAGATACGACGCAGATGGAGCACAGAATATATCTTGGCCGAGCCCCTTAATCAATTCCATCGGGATTCGCGTCGGGGAAGGCTGATCGTTTTGCGATTCTTTTTTTTTTCCTTTTTTCTTTCCTTTTTTTTTTATTGTTCTGTCTTCCCTCCCCCTGTGACCCGTTCGGATTACTGATTCCTACGAGGAGCGAGATATCGGTTCAATTTGTGTTTTATTAAATATCGAGATTCTTCCCCCGGCCCTCTTTTTACCTCGGCCAGCTCCTTCTTTTTGTTTCCAGCACGGCTTTTTCCCTCCCGCGCTCTCTCCGTCTTCTCTCGCCACTTCCTTCCTCCTTCGACGGGATTCATCTTTAATTCAGAACGATCGATGGGTTAATAAAAAATATTGTCCGACGGCATCCGACGCGAGATTTTTGATATTCAGTTGTCGATTTGGCGATGGAAACGAAACGATTAGTGAAAACGGATTTTTCTTGAAGTGTTTTTTATTTTCTTTTTTTTTTTTTAAACAAACTATAAATGTTTCGGCTAAAAGTTCCAAGGATCGGATCAGAGAGACGTGGTTGATTATAAATATAGAAAAGAAACATGATTCTTGCGCATGCAACGAAGTACATTCGGAGCAGTTTGTAAGTAAATCGTACAAACTCTCTTATTTCTGCTTCAAACGTCTGGTGTGATAATAAGTATACTATTTACAAATTATATACCTCCTGTTCTACGAACCAGACGGAAAAAAAGGCAAATTAAATTAACAAGCGAGTTATGAAGTGATACATTTGTGATCGTATTTATACACACTGTGAACAGATACGCAAGGTTTTTTTTTATCTACCCATACCAAGAGAGAGGAAAGTGCGTCAGACATTCTCACGTCTCGAACTGGTAATGTATACACTCGTAAATTTCAGATTTTATTTGCAAATTATCATTATCATCGAATTAATTAACACTTTTTTGTCAAGTGAGGTAGCAGCCTGTTTTTTCAAAAGTACAGACTGAGAGTTGTTGACGTAATAGTACGTCTTTCATAAATAAGAACAAGAATGGTGAAAAAGTAAGGAAAAGTCGTTATTTGCCGTCTAAGCTCGCACTTTATTCTCTCCTGCATATCAGCGTGCACTAATAAATGCACAAAAAAACCTCACAGTGACCCATCAAGATTGTCAGACCGTCCGGTAAAGCACGACCCTCCCTCGTAACATTCTCGTTACTCGGTCCTGCACGAGTTGACACCACCGAGAGAGGGAGGACGCGACGTAAAAATTATTTATCGTATTGTGTCGCACGATGAATACATGAATGCAAAATGTCCCATTCGCCGGCTACCAATGGGGACGACCACGGTAGAAGCTTCGGTGGAAGAGAGTGAGAGAGAGAAAGAGGACCGAGGCGAGATCCAAAGGCAAACGGTGGAACGCGCGTGGCTAAAGTTATAGCCAATACGTAAACTATTACTTTTACGAGCTTTACTTTATCATTTTTACAAGCCACCCGTTTTATGATTGGTGTTTATTTAGGCGGCTCCTGTACACACACGTTAAATTTTATCGCGCCTCCATCTACGCGACGGAAACGCACCGGTCTGTGTTCATTAATACACGGGACCGTAATTACCACGCGTGGGACTTTATAAATCAGTTCGGCCGCTGTCTGCCAGTTCAAACGTGGATGTTCAAATATTTTCCTGGTTGCGTTCTCTCTCTCTCTCTCTCTCTCTCTCTCTCTCTCTCTCTCTCTCTCACTCTGTTTTACGATCGATAGACTGCAGATGCTGCCCGCGAATATCATATTTTCGTGGACTAATCCCGTGGATTAATTCGTGGACGCTTCTATATGTTGCATGTTTTACGCGTCGATGGTAACAATCCCGTCTTGAAATTTCTTCTCGGTGTTATGGAGAAACGTATGTGGAATATATCTGGACCCAGAGTGTGTTAAGAATATTTAAAAAAAAAAATGACATATTTCATCTCTTTCCGATAGTACAATTTATTTCGTTCTAAGTTGTTCAATTTTTAATATAATAGTCGAAAAATGAGATTACGTTCGGATTTTGAAGATTCAAGACTTTTTTGACAGACTGTATGATCACTTTCAAAATCGGTAACTTAAGACCTATTTCAATCGAAAGTGTTACATGTAGCGAAGTTTATAAATATTGTATAATTCTATGTGCCGATTTAATTTAAAAAAAAAATTAATTTTGAATATCTGAGAATACCCCGTTACATGCATATTTGTATATAACAAAATCCTTCTCCCTAAACTAGTCTTTCTAACTTCACAAAAAGCTTCAAGTCACTCGATCCAATTTTAAGAAAGTTGTTTCCTTTTAAAGGGCGTGATGAAGCCTTTTTTTGTATATATTTCAGTGTTTCCGTGAACAGTTCTTGTTCTCGAGGTTTCATCAATGAGCCTCGATTTTATACCGACCGAACTCCCACTCCCTCCCGGATAATTACTAAACTCTAACTAGTAACCCGTTAGCCTGGGAGCATAACCGGCGTCCTCACCGAAACAATTTATGCCCATCGCGAATTGCATCACTTTACTTAACATTACTGCCTTCTTATATTACGAGCGACGCGATACCGTGCCCCAGACGTCGTATCTCTCTGCCGTGTGGGGCAATTAAAAACGAAGCTAATAAGCGAACCACGATGAGGTAAAACGACGTGTATGTAGTTTCTTTTATACTTCCTTGAATGAACGCGCACCGCCGCCACGCGTTCATTCCTTGCCTGCGCTGCCCCGATACAATGGCCATTTCTTGCGTGCGGCTCTTATTCAAACCGGAAGCGGCGGTATCCCGAGAATGGTCCATTAACGTCATTCGACAAACTCCCATCGACGGATCCGTGTGGCTTCGTTAACTTTATAATATACGGGTTCTCCCCTGTCATCGTGTGCTTTTTCTTTTCCTGTTCTCCATCATACGTATATATACAGGGTGTAACAAAAATGTTGAAGGACCCAAAAATTGGAGACTCGTTAGGCGATTTGAAAGAAGTTTTTCCTTAGCAAAAATGTTATCAGAGGCTTTGTTAACGAGATATTAAGGAAACACCCCGACCAATCATAGCGCGAGTTTGCTGGCCGAGTTCCCGCTGTAACGTTGGCTACCAATTGTAGAACGCAGCCAACGTTACCGCGGGAACTCACTGACGCTCTGATTGGTCAGGGTTTTTCCTTAATATCTCGTTAACGAAGCCTCGGATAACATTTTTGTTAAGGAAAAATTTATTTCAAATCACCTCACGAGTCTCCTATTTTCAGGCCCTCCAAAATTTTTCTCACACCCTGTATATATTTGCTCCATCGTACACCGAAGGAAATAAAATCTGACGCCAGGTTAATTGCTCCCGATTCGCCTAATTGACGAAACGACCACCTCGTCTTCTGTCTCCTTTCTTCTTGCGCACTGGAAGCCAAGGCTCGAACGGATCGATGCGTTTCAAGCGCGGACACATTCGTGTGCACACGATCCTCTCTTTTTACTACCCCCGGTGTCTCTCGGGTAATGCATTTCCCTCTTTCCGTCTCTCTTTAGCGGCGACGCTAAACATGCATCGACATTAAATTTCGCTCGGCACGGCCGTAATTCCACCGCCGGTGTATAACGTCATTACATTCATCACCTGCACTGGCTCGGAATATCAAATGAGAGTGGCGATATATTTGATTATTTGTCAGCAGCGGTCACTCGGCCGCCCCCCCCCGTGCATTTCCATCCCCCTTAACGCAGGCCCCTCCCACAGCAGCCCTGTCTTTCTTGTTATTCGTGGAAAATTCCTGACAGATTTTTCGGGACAGAATATCCACACCTCGTGGCGGTTTTTATTTTTCATCGTGAAGAGAGGAACGACGGTCGCGTTCGTCCACTCGTCAAAATCACCAGCGGAAAAGTGAGCAGAGAGAGAGAGAGAGAATGGTCAAAGGAAAGAGGGTCCTGGCACGTGGTTGGACGTGTGCGAGAAACAGAGTTTCCGATAATTCTCTCTTTCTCTATCACTGTCCTTTTCTTCTCTAGTCGTTTCTCTCCGTATCCTCCCTTTCTCACCGCCTGGCCTGCCTCTCTCTCCTCGATGCTCGATGCACACACTTACCCTCCCCTCTCCACGCTGGCCCCTCTTTGCAACCCTCTTGCCTCGTCCGTGGAAACGACGACCACCCAGCGGCCCTCCACGGCCCACTACACGTCCACGGCAGAAAATTAATGTCCCCTGCAATCCATGTATAATGCATTCGCATTTCGTTTGAACGAACAAATGAACGCACCGCTAGAAAATTTACGTCCTTGTCTCTCTCTCTCTCTCTCCCTGCCTGTGTACACGACCTGTGGACGTTTCTAGCCCTAGTGAGGTGTTCTCCTCTCGCTCTATATACAGTGATTCACGTGGGTCGATCATATACTCACGAAATTGCAATCAAGTGTACAAATTTTTATGTAATTTTTATTGGGTGGAAGCGAAAGTTCTGTCGTTTTGAAACGAATCCAGGTTTTCTTAATGTGATGTAATGCTGTTGTTTGGTATACCCCAAACATATTTGCAACATCAATAGACGTTAGTGTTTGTTTGTTGACTATCATTAATATGTGGTGATCTCCCACACCTGCGTTTTTCTTTTAATCACCACCTCGAAATTGTTCGAATCATTTTTAACAGGTTATGGTGGCTTCGCCAAATATACCACCGTACGTTATTTGCTGCTTGGACGGCGTTATTTCCTTTCTGCCACTCATACAATATGCAGTGCTTCAAATCCTCCTTTGAATCGCATATCTGAATAATATATAAAATCATTAATTCCCAGGAGTAATTTATATTACAGAATCTACCAGGACAGTTAACCTCGAAACTGGCACAAGTTTCGTTTCAATACCTGTCGCCATCTACAGTGACGTCTCGATGAGTGCGACATGTTTGGGTCCGTTGACATTCATGGGAAGGTGGAAAATTTTTCAGCTCTTCAAGCTTTTTACCTGAAGCCGTGTCTCTGCTTAGCTTTTGTTTACTCTGTTTTTGATTCATACCAGAGGGGAACTAACTCAGTAGTGAGAATAACGTCGTTGTTCATGTCGCATTCATCGAGGGTCGCTGTATTAACGACAATCTTCAAAAACTGACCAAATAAAAACCGACAGATCTTTCCCTTACACCAAATATTTGTCCCGGAATTTTCACTTCTATCATATACTTTCCTGATGAATTTTTCTTCATTACAAAATAAGATTTCCAGTTTGAAACATAATCTGGTGAAATAAACGTGACAGCCTTCCCTAAACAAATATTCCCGAGTCGCTGTATATGGCCCGCGAGTTCCCCCTTCCGTTCCTCTCGCGA